GGGTCTGTCGGACCTGAGCAGCACTTTGGCTCTCTGGAAGCAGGTCAGGCTGCTCCAGGACTTGTAGCCGTTCACAGCAGAGGTGGCACATTGGGAAATATCCTCATCCTCAGCGCATGCTGTGTTACACACGACACCACCTGTTAGACAGAAAAACCAACAAACACTGGGTTATCTTAATCACCTTTTACTGATATCATCATTTCATTTAAAAAATGTTTGTTGATTTTTCATAATTAGCAAACTGAAACAACTAAATGGTCCTTGTTCATTATGTATGGCTTCCTTTGGTCGTGAATTTCTTTTACTTTATTTGCTTTCTCACAGTTTCTTTTGTTATCATTTTTGTACGGAGTCACAAGCTGTTCCCACAAACTTCTTTTGGGATCCCTTTCTTTTAGCAAAATCCTACATGGACTTTGACTTGGCTCCCCCATCAGTTCCAGTACTCCAAGTGTTTGAGGTTGTGTCAGGTGTCTGTAATGGCTTCTTAGCAATTATTCTTTTCTTTAACCCTTCATCCATAACTCGTCTCCTTATGCTCATTCTGGAGACTTCCTCAAACTCTTATCTAGAAACAATCATCTCTGCCTGAAGATCAGCAGTGGTCTTCTTTCTGTCTCTGCTTTTTCAGATTTTGAGGGGTGCCCCATTTGCATCAGTTAATTTGTCCTGCCTCTTACCTGGCTTATTTTGAAAATACAGCTCTCTGCAATAGACTCCGAAGCATTTGTTAAACACTTTCCACGTCAAGAGATTTGGATGAGATTACAATGTAAACTCTGGCTGCTCTCACCTTTGGAATCAGCAAGGGAGCGGCTCTGTCTACCTGCTGGCTGAACAAACTTCCCATTGATGAAAAGACCCAAAGAGCGGGAATGATGATCCAGCCAGGCCTGGTATGAGAGAAAGGGAACAGTTAAAAGGCCCATCCCTGCAACTAAATGCCCAGAGGGTTACCTCACTACAGCAAAATTCTGCTTCCGTGACTGTAGGACAATACACAATTATGCTTATAATGATGGTATGAAACAAGTAGTGCAAAATACCCAACAGTCAACAATAAGTGAGAAAGATTTTGAATAAATAGGCCAATACACAAAAAAAAAAGAATATTCACCAGACACTTACTTTATTCAGCAAAAAAACATTAAATGATTTTTTCAGCCTTCTATAATGTGAGAATTTGCTGCTTTTTTTAAATAAATTGCTGCTTTCTTATCCTACTCAATGGTTATAAAGCCATCCATTCATTACCAGATCCTGAAATGAGTTAAATAAAACGTAAGATGAACAATGCTCATCATTTCATTATCTTAGTAAAAAGAAACCAAACTAAGATGCAGAGACAGTGTGTAACAAGCTACAAACAGTATGTCTGTGTGATGTTAGTCTCTCAGCTTTGTGGAATAAATTTGGCCCACTGTTCTTTGAAGTGTTGCTTCACCCACTGAAGCAATTCTCTGACAGGATTATTAGAAACACCTTGGTTCTTTTCTTTTTCAGACACCTTGCTGTAGGTTTCGAGTGTTTGGAATTAATGTCCTGTTGATCAGCATGTTCCAACCAAGCTTTCGTTGTGGGACAGTTGGACTCAAATTTGACTCTGAGGAAAAGATTATATACAGAAGAGTTCATAGTAGACTCAATGACTCCAGTGTCCAAGGCCTGTGGCTGCTGAGCAAAACGTGCTTTTACAGAACCGCTCTCTCACTTGATTATGATTATTCAGTCAAGACAGTATAGTTAGAAGCATCTGGCTGCTAATTCTTGTGGAGGTAGCAGGTTTCTGCCTTATATTTGTATATTAAAAGGGGACAATGTTAATGTTAATGCTCTGACATGTAACATTCTGGAATGTAAAGGCTGTTGTTAAAGTTGTTTGGTTATCTTATGTAATTAAACATTTTTTTTATCCAACATTGTTTCTTCCCCACATTTCTCATACCTGGTGGCTTCAGGCTAAAACTGCTATAAATAAAGAATAAAGAAATCTTTCAAGCACCTTGTGCTTCAGGCCAATACTGTTGGAAATGAAAAATAAAAAGATCTTTCAAGCTACTTTTTTATTTGATTATGGTAATTTGTCTGAATAAAGTTATTAAAGAAAAACAGGAGCATTTCTTAAAAAGTTCTAATTTTGAAAATATATATATAATGAAAGATATGATAGAATTTTTTATGTATTTCCCAATTTTAACCATGGTATCAATCTAAATTAGATAGAAATCATACATAAAAAAGATTATATAACAAATCCAAGCTTAGACTGTATTGGTCAGCATGACGCCACCTCTTGCTTGACAGTGACTGGGATGGCTATGGGCAATTTGGTAACTATTTACAGACAGAAGACAAAGTTCAAACTCTCTATGAGCCACTTTACTGAACCTTGTACAACTTACTTTAACTTTCAACAAATTGCTGCAATTACTCACTAAGTAAATAAATGTATTAAGTCACCATTAGAGTAGTTTTCCAATGGTGTTATATTGAGTCTCTATCTGAAATCTGTGACTAATAAATTGCCAATTAATAAAAATGAGGTCAAATGGAATTAACCCTTCAATCCCCGTACTGCAGAGCAAAAGCATATTTTATTAAGTCGCTCCCACTAGGTTAAGGGGACTAGTTTTCAACTAGTTTCAAACTAATAATGACCAGTTTTTGTAATATTATATATTTGGGATATCTTCAAGACTAGGAGTTTGGTTGAATGTGACTATTTGGAAAGAGACACGATAAATATTAATGAAACCTTGATGAACGTCCCTTCCATTGACAACAACCGTTTTCAAAAGAGCCTCAGCTAATTGCTTATAATTTCTCATCATGCATAAGTTCGAATCCAGATTTCAGGACAAAACTATCCCCTATATATCGTGGCATGGCTTCATATAGCGTCCCGTGAGCATAAACTGTGTCTTTAAGCATTCTTCTAAAGAAAGTGTCTTTTTTCAGGAAAGTCACATGTTTGGCTTGTGAGTCAGCCAGCTAACGGTTAATGAACTTCACGAGTCAAACAGTAGCAGGCTAACTAAAAGTGGACATATAAATAGAAATAGGTATAATGTACAACCAAGAGATTAAACCCATAGAAAGGGAGGCTGAAAACTTTACCTGTGCGTTGACAGTGCTAGAAGTTGATGCTGGTCCGTTCTCCATGCTCAGGAAAATATCGTACACTGTCTTGGTGGTGCTACCAGCCATAATAGTGAGGACTGTCTGGGAAGAAGAGGCTAATCTCTCTTTATCTTTGTCTCCTTGTTGGTATGAAGTTCAGAGGCAGCGTGTAAAATGTGCAGCACGCAATGTGAAAACTGTAAAAATTCAAAGATAATAAGTTGTCAGGAAGACTTCCGAGCTGTCACTCCACGTCAAATATAACGTGTAACCTCCCGTCTTGCTAGAGAGGAACTTCGCATCATGCTCTAGAGGTTTCACCTCTCGTTCTTTCCGACACATTGTCCGTTTTCAAAGTGTTCCGGTATTTGACGCAATCGAGGTATTTTGTGCAGGTTCTATGACTTACATAATGAATTCTTGATACAATAATGTTTTAAATGTCTTATTCATATGATATTTTAAAACATGTTATTAATTATTAATCATATATGTTTCAAACACAATTATCCACAACACCTCACTTTAACACGGAGGTATTTTGTCAACGTACCAACAACATAGAGCGCTCGAGCTTGCGCCGTACGCACAAGGAAGCGCGGAGAAATTTATGCGTTCCCCTCAGTTGAGTTGGCGTACGGCAATCTCTTTTTATTTGCTGTGGTTACATTTTCTATATAAGCTTGAAAACTTAATTCCTAAAGTTAGAGGTATCGGATTCCAAGAGAGGACACATCGCTTCTTTGAAAATGCCCCGTAGGAAGGTGAGGCAAACGGTTGCTGGAGACTGCTCATCGGAAACACTGCATCACGTCATACCTAATGTTAGCAAAAGTATATGTAAAAATGGAAATCTGTCGAAAAATGCGCCTTTTGCAGTTGAGATGTGTGCATCTGCAAGGTTCTAAATATAAACGGCAGATATCTGTAAATATCCGAAAACAGCTGACCTGTCGATTTGTGTTGTTGCTATAAAGCTAAGCTAGCTCATGTTTATTGCTGAGTTGCAGGGACATGTTGTTTCTTAAATATATCTTTTTGGCTTTTGGAAGAATTAGTCAGGCCCGTTACACTGTGGACAGATTATACAGAGGGTTAAAAGCCTGGGAATAGTTTAACGTTTGTACTGCTGCTTTCGCTAACTGAAACAGAAAAAACAGATTGTTCTTTTGGTGCGAGGATGGAACGAGTGTTTGCACCAAAACAACACTGTGATTGGACAGGTTTGGTACGGTCATTATGCTCATTGGTTTGTCTGTTTCAAATCCCGCCTCGCCTTATTTTAATTGGTGGTATGTAAATTAAGTGCACAGCCTCTTGTTGTGAAGTTGTCAAACGCTTGCTCATGCTGTTCATTAGGATTTTTCTGCTCATCTTTATTTCCCACTTATAACTTTTTCCAGCATGCTGTTTTTCTTCGGGAACATGAAATATTACTACTTTAACATGTTGTCAGTTATTTTACACGCGGAATAAAATTTTATTCAAACTTTATTTAACAGATTATATTTGTTGTTTATAATGTTGTTGTTTTTTAAATATAATATCTATTTCTCATTATCTCAACAAATAAAAAATGTTTATTTTTTCTCTTCGCTCCTGTTATTACTTTTACATGAAACATTTTTGTTATTTGACAACTAATACATATTACAATAAATGGTAGTGTAAACAAAGAAAATATACAGAGTAAAATTATTAAACATAACTATATTTTAGCATTTTTTATTTGTGCAAAGAAAATTACAGCTTGTTTCCACTCTCCCTCACCCCGCTTGGATTTTGGTGTCTGATGAGCTCCTGAAAGCATCACTACTATTATTATTAGTGACGTAGACAGCCGTGTAGTCGTCGTTTTTCGGAAAGTCCACTTCTACCGAACAAGTTTACAGGAAACGTTAATTGGTGTCTTTGCTTTCACAAATTACGCGACGCCGCCCAGTAATAAAATAGAAAGCTCGAAAAAGAAAACTTTGTAAATTCGCGCTGAACTTGGGTTCGTTACTCTTGTGGTAAACTTAGCGGGGCAGCCAGGGTGTTAGCTGCTCGCGGTGTTTCCAATGTAGCTTAATTTGGGAATTTATTAACATATCCGTCGACGTAAGAGGGAGAGAAAACCCGGACTGCATTGTAACTTTACTGCAACATCCCCTGGTAACGTTATAAATTCGAATAAATCAGTAATAGCAAAACACCAACACTCATTTAGGTTTATAACACGTTAGCAAAGAACAGTAACGTGTCTGACACCGTTTTGGTGACGGTTCAGACTAATTAAAGGGTCTCTCGAAACAGGTTGCTGATAAATGTTGTTGCTCTCTCAGAGGACCGCAGGCAGCAGTTCGGACGGAACGGAGGACTCGGATTTTTCCGCGGATCTCGAGCACACCGAAGCTTCCGAGCGCGCACACAGGCGGAGCAGCGCGCGGCTGACTCGAGCCTCACTCCGCCTCAGCCAGAGCTCACAAGGTAAACGTTTACAGTACACACAAAACAGCCTCTTACTTAATGATGAGTTTATGGATTAAAAATGATCATTTTGATTATAAACAAAGGCTTCTTAGTTTTTTTCTTGCGTTTGTAATTTTATTGTTTACATAATTAAATGCAACCCAATTGAGTAAAATCATTTTATATAATCTATTTGCAGTATATATATTAAGTTATCTTTAGAAAGTCAAATGAAGACATTATGCATGTTTGTTTTGAATATGATTTAAAGGAACATATGTCTAGATAAACATCTTCTCTATCACAACAGCATATCTCAAAATTTCAGAAAGTCATTTTCTTCCCACTTTTTTAAAAATGTTTTTTTTCCAGTATATCTAACAATTCTTTTTACCCTACAGATAACGAATCACAGACAATTCTCTGTCTTTTATTTAAGCATATGCATTTGATCACACTAATATTAAACACTGTCTCCGGTCGGTATCATTTCACTCATATGCTTCATCTTAATGAGAAAATAACTTTTTTTTGTCATTCAGACAAAAGACACCAAAAAAGAGACTTTATGCGCTCTTCATTTAGCCTGTTTTGAAGCAGCCATTGTATCTGTGCAGCCAAAAAACAGCAATGAATACAGACAGGCTGACCTCCCCCACTGTTATCACACACACACACATACATGTAAACACATAACCCCCCCTGTGTAACTGCCTTCTGCTGTCTGGCAGAGGGGATTTACAGAAGAAAAAAGAAGGCCAGCATTGCCCCTCCCTCTTTTTGTTTCTAAACGAAGTTGACGGGAGTTTCCCTTGTCTTGACCCATGCCGGGAAACAGCCCAGAGACTTGTTGCCCACAAAGGAGTGGATTCAGATGCCTTGGATCAAGTAACTTGAGTTGGCCGGTCACAAAGTGCTGCTTAGGCTTAGAACCTTTTTCTTTTTTTTTCAAACCAAAAAACAACCAAATCAAAAGTAGAAGGGGGCTCGCTTCTTTTTTGTAAAAATACAGTTGGATTCAGATTAAGCTGTAAGATCTTGATACTTTTGTATCATGTGCTGCACTGTCAGTATAAAAATAAAAAAAAAGGAAGTTGGAAGACAGTTGGCAACCATCTGTAAAGTGGACACGCTGTTCCTCTCTTTCCCAGAAAACAACAGCTCAGTTCGCTGCAGCTCTCCTGCCGCTACGGGTCCCGAGGAAGGCCTAGAGTCGTCGGCTGAGACGGCAGCGGTGGCAGCGGCTGTCTTCTCATCCGGGCGCAGGATCACTCGCAGCCAGCAAGGGGCGACAAACAACACAGCCAAGAAATACCCGTTGCGTCAGAGCCGATCATCTGGCTCGGACACTGAAGCTAATGGTAAGGCTGCTGGTGCTTCGTGTGTGTCTCATGAAGTCGATCTAACCATAAAATTGTACAATACTTTCAGTATTTCGTACAGCAGATTGGGCGTCGTATTTGCATTCTTCCTGTCTTATTACGGAGGAATTAGTTGCAAATAATATTCTAGAATGAATGGAAACATGCCGGGACATGGGGTGGGGGGGTTGGGGGGAGCATCAAATGAGCAACATCCGGGAGAGGCTGAAAAACAGAGCAGAGAAAAGAGAGAACAGGATAAGGATGAGGAGGGGGATCGTGTGCCTCAGTCTGTCTTTGCTCTGCAGCTGGGGCAACGTCGTGAGGCTTCTTTGAAATCCCAGCATGTTACTGAGAAAGGAGGAGACTGAAATGTGTCTGGTCGATACGCTGAACAGAAACTGGGAGCTGAGATCTAACCTCAGACTCTGCAGGGGGTGAACACACATCTGTGAGGGAGGACACATCTCTGTCGCAGTGCAGTCTGCTTGCATCTGTTAATTACTTTACAGGCATTGATAACGATGGTCAATCAAAAATCCCTTATATTGAAACTGAAAACAGTCATATTAAAAGTTCTGGTTCAGTATACTGTAGATTCAAATTTATGGAAAATTCCAAGATCAATAGTAATCCTTAATGAACTGAAGCAAAGCAGTTATTATGTATTACATAATTTAACTCCAGAAGAGCAGCAGAGTTTTATTCCAAAAACAAATAATTGGCCACAATAATAATGCTTTTTAGCATGAGTATTCCCATTTTCAGTTCCTAAGAGTTATTAAGACCTCATGCACTGACATTGAAGGATTTATTTTGAGGCAGTTAGAATAGTGTCCAGAGCAAACTCACTCCCAAAGGGTGGACAGAAATCATCAAATAGATTACAAGTCATTTAAATTTGGGATATATTCATGTGAATATTTGGTGACAAATACAGTTTAGCAAAGAAAAACAACAAAATTCTGTTGATTTGAAAGGAAGGAGTGATGAAAATGCACCCGTTTCCAGCTGGTGCAGTTTTGTTTGGATAAGAGAAAAAAGTTCATCCTCAGCTTAATGCTTTTTCATTCCCTTATAAATGACATGGCATATTTATATGGTTTATTGAGTTTTAAAATCTCTTGTGGGCAGACAGAACTTTGGTGAATTGAAGTGTGGAAACATGCTTGCTCTTAGCCATGCTTGCACAACTTTGCCATGGCTGTTTCGCTTAACCATCATTAAATCGTCCTCAGAAATTTGCATTGAGCTTATGCTACCTGCAATGTGGAGGTGACCAGTATACACTTCCTTATAACAAGAGGTCCCCAACGACCCCAGCATGCATCTTCTCCCACAAGAAGAGAGAGTTGTAAAATGTAAGTATGTAAAATAGATTTGTATTATCCTGCAGGACGCCCCAAACCCCAGGCATTGAGGGTTGCTGCCAGTTTTGAGATGTCCACAGAAAAACGTGGTTCTCAGTTGGCTGAAAGCAAATGGATCATCCAGAGAACTAAAGTGAAGCCAGACTGTAGGGTTCATTACAGCCAAAAGTGCTCCTAAAGAAGAGGCTTTTATGACCATTTGATGTCCCAGAGCAACTGGTCTGCCTTTAGAAATGTAGTATGAAAGGAAACCAAACCAATCGTAGGGGGGAAAAATGTATTTTGCTGCTCTATCAAACCGAGTCCGTCGGTCTATTCTGGTGTAAAAGCACCAGTATAAGTATAGTTATGCAGTATCGGTATAGGGTTCTTTCCCTAAAGTTTATTTTAGTCATGGAAGAGCATTATATGGTGTTTCAATTATATGGGATACAGGTATCTACTTCTAACTGGGAAGTAGCAATTTAAGGTGAGGCAAGCTGAAATGTAAAATTGCATGATCAGCTGTGTTTCCCACTCCTTTTAAGTTAAGTGAACCATCCACTTTTTGGTAGAAACTGCAAAAAGAAAAACAAAAGTAAATTCTCTTCCAACTTTCTAAGGTTCTGTAAATGCAGCGTGATTCGAAGTTACAGTCTGGAAGAATTACAGATGGCAATGCAGAGACAAAGCAATCCACAGCTTCAATTTGAAGATGCCCAAAATTTATTATTTTTTGTTTAGACGAGTTTGAGATTTCTTTTCCCATCAGACATCATTTTTTATCAGAAAGACATCTCTTCATTTCTCTTAAAAGTCACATACACTCCCATGAATAATTTCAAATGATTCTTGGGAAAAAAGAAAAAGAAAATATTTCTGTTCTTTGCTAACAAATATATTTTTGGACTCTCTTGATTTCATGAACATATAAGATTAAGATAACATCAAGAACATGTGTTTATCTGGAAGCTTTGATATGGGTTACCAATTATTTGATCATAAGGCTGTGAAAGGCTGTTCACACCACACCTGGGTGTGACTGACATTAAATAACCAAGCGTGATTGCAAACACAGAGGATAATGTTAAAATATCTCTTTTCATTCGCCCACCAGCTCCTCAGAACTCTTCGGCCCTCTGTCGCTGTAACATAATTCTTCACATTTGGATTTCTGCTGACGGGTGTGAGCTGCATCTGTATGTGCTTTATCATGTATTCAGCCTGCAGATGTGGTTTAATAGAGAGCTAGAGGGAATCTTAAACTACAGTCCTCAAGGGTCGCTGTCCTGTAGGTTTAGATGTTTCCCTGCTGCAATACACCCGATTCACATCATTGGACCATTAGCAGACCTGTGAGTAGCAGAGAAAAATGGGTGAAACATCTAAAACATGCAGGACAGTGGCCCCCGAGGACCTACATTTAAGAAGCCTGGGTTATTAGGAGTTGACCGTGTATACAATTAGCATAAATGACAGTCAGATGGAATTTTTTTTATTTTTGTCTAAACTGACCCAGCAGACACGAAGCCGGGGGCAGACCGAGACGAGACTCCACCCCGCACCCCGACAGGCAACGCCCCGTCCTCAGAGTCAGACATCGAGATCTCCAGCCCCAGCAACGACATCGTTGTGTCTCAAGAGGAGGACGAGAGACTGGCCAAGGAGCTGTCGCTCAAAGAGGCCGCCGCCCACGACCTCTCCCACCGGCCCAAACGACGGCGTTTCCACGAAAGCTACAACTTCAACATGAAGTGTCCCACACCTGGGTGCAACTCCTTGGGTAAGGCCGTAAACACAGCACTGCCACATGTTTTACAGCTTAAGATGTGCCACTCCTTTAGGCCGGCTTTCTATGAACGACCCTTTCTTCAACTTTTCTCCACGCTTTTTTTCTTTTCCTCTCAGGTCATCTAACAGGAAGACATGAGAGACATTTCTCCATATCAGGATGCCCTCTCTACCACAACCTCTCTGCTGATGAGTGCAAGGTACATACACACACATACATACAGATGCATCAGCTAGGATTCTAGGCAGAGTGAGTGTGAGACTATAAGGCTGTAGGCTATTTTGAAAATAGAAGAAACAAAAAGCAGTAACACAGTGCTGTCCTTTGTCTGACAGTTATTCTTTTTTATTTTCCCCTCAATTTTCCTCCATAGTCTGCCAGCTTTGAAATAGAAATAAACCACAATTTTTTCAATGTCCTCTATCACTTTGGGGCATTGGTTCTTTGTCAAAGCAGGTTTCCAGTCGGCCATCACACTGTGACATGTCAAAAAACGGAGGAAATCACAAGAGCAAACTGAAATTGTCGAGCTGTTGAAACATGGAGGGGAGGGGGCATTTTGTTGCTGCAGGCCACTCGTGAGTTACTGGTCACAGACGGTGTGGATTCTTTTTCAGGGGAAGGCATCAACACGTGACAAACAGGCCGAGGAGAGGACGCTCTCACATCGGCAGGACGAGAACAGGCACTCCACAAGAAGCCAGGTGGGATGTGGGAAAACCAGACAGACATAACTGATAGTGACGTACAGGTTCACACACGGGCTTTCTGAGTATGGTCTCACCTGTTCTTTTCCACTGTGTGTGTTTGTATGTGGAGGTCGCCGTAAAAGGAACAAAGGGGTTGTCCTTTTTTAAAAAACAAAACAACCAAAAATCTTGTCGTGACCATTTCTTAACCTCCTGAGACCCGAGCTTTTATTTGGCATGCATTTTAGCTTTTTTTTTAAAGATATATGAGATACATATTTAATTAAATGTTTTTACAATTTTGTTCTGACAGTCCCATTGACTCATTTACAGTTTTTCTATTAAACAATAAGAACATGATTGGATGGAAATGTATAAAACCATTTTACTTTAGATTTCAAACAGTGTCTGATAGCATCTGCTATGAGGTCAAGAGGTCAAAGCTGAAAGAAAAAAAGAAGTATCATGGTAAAGAGAGACAAAAATGCAACGTCCTCTTATGAGGACACAGGGTCTCAGGAGGTTAAAATGATGCAACGGCCTCAGATAAACAACACACGCACTACCACACGTAACTATTTAACAAAAGATTAAGCCAAAACATAGATGCAATGTGTAAACCACCAAAAGTCAGCCTGCATGTTTGGAGAAAACAAAGCACGGCATGTCAGCCCCAACACCTTAAACCAACTGTAAAGCATAGTGGTGGCGGGCTGATGATCTGGGCTTGTTTACCTGGACCATGATACCTTTTTGTCTTCATGCTAGAGGCAAATGTGAGGCTGACAACATAAAGCTTGGTTCATCAAACAAGGACAATGATCCTGAACACAACAGCTAATCTATAACAGGAGAAGAACCAAAAGCTGAAGACTAGACTTCAACCGCTTGTTCATCTGATGATGTGTTCACATCACTTTAGGAGTGTGTTAGATTCAAATTATAATTATGCCCAGGTCATTGAAACGTCCCTCTTGGTTTTCATGACTATAGATGCGAAGACGTTGGTGTGTGTAAAACAGTAAATGCTCAAATTTGGTAGTTTGTATCTGTCTCTTGTTGAAATGAGGAGTCAGACCTCCTATCTCTCTGTTTATAGAAATCCTTTGTGATGAGAGTGTGTTTTGTTGGGATCAGTATCAAATAGAATATCCCTCGTGTTGTTGCACATTCATTAAGGCATTGAGACTGAATGTGGAGACGCGTTCTTAACCGTTTTGGATACATACAGACTCCACATAAAGGTGAGGGCTGAAGTCAGTGTCTCTGTGTTGCCTCTCAGGCCCTGACAGAACGGCAGCTGCGCTACAAGGAGAAGGTGACCGAGCTGCGGAGGAAGAGGAACACCGGCCTCAATAAGGAGCAGAAGGAAAAGTGCTCGGTGAGCTGACGAGACTTTCCACGAAGCTTCTTGCACCGCGTCACCTATTCACGTGTGTGAGAGCGTCCCCTTCCCCTCCCACGCTACAGGAACACCGCCAAAGCCACGGGACGAGCCGGGAGCCGCTTCTGGAGAACATCACCAGCGACTACGACCTCGAGCTGTTCAGGAAAGCGCAGGCACGTGCTTCGGAGGACCTTGTAAGAGAGAAAACTCATCATCATCCTCACCTCCCTTCCTTTTTGTCTCCTTTCTGCCTTATTGGTCTTCTTCTCTGTTTCAGTCCGCACACGCTCCTCTGCTGCCACAGGAGGAGGCAGAGATATTTTTGATAGTTTGGACAGTCACTCCTCTTCATTCTGTTTGGTTTTAACTCTTCAGGCGAGGGGGCTTTGTGCAACAGATGCTCAGCGGCTTTTCTCCACCAACACAGTAGATTTAGATCAAGCCTATGCTTTATTTTGAGCGAAAAGGCATGTTAAATACTAGAAATCAACACAATAAGTAGTACGCCATTTCACTTGACACACTTTCTTCATGCATAATTTTTTTGGGCTGGTTCTTACCACTGAGGTTTTTCCTAAATGTTATGTTTGCTTCACCGGAACCTCTTCCCAGAATAATTTATTTATTTGTCCTTCCTCCCCCTTTTTTTCCTGTCACCCCTCATCCTGCTTGGTCCCCTCTCCTGTTGTCCTCTGTGCACCTTTTCTCCTCGTCCCTCCTCTGTAACAGGAGAAGCTCCGTCTGGCTGGTCAGGTATCAGAGGGCAGCAACATGATAAAAACGATCGTGTTTGGGCGCTTTGAGCTGGATACCTGGTACCACTCCCCGTACCCAGAGGAGTATGCCCGCCTGGGGAGGCTCTATATGTGCGAGTTCTGCCTAAAGTACATGAAAAGCCAGACCATCCTGCGAAGACACATGGTAATGCAGTCTTTTTTATTCTTTTGTTTATTTTATTTTAAATGGTCACAGTTTAAGTTGGAGAGTGTGTGGCCAATATCTGCTACATTCTGACCAGCTGCATACATAAATAAATAAACCAAAGGAAATACAGCATGGAGGTTTGGGTTTTTAGAAGTTTTTCTATTTCCTTTAATTTGGACATCATTGAAGATGGTATGAAGCCAAAATATTGATTGAGTCAGTTTTATTTAAATACTATAAAATCACTGTAAATGGATATCACCTTTTCTTACTCTAAAAGAAAGGTTCAATCCAAACCGATTTTTTTTTTTTTTAAATGAATATATTAAAACAAATCAAATTGATTAAGTTCTGCATGAGTCCTGTTCATCTGGACAGTTTTTTTTTTAACCAGATTCTAAGGAAATTAACAGATAACACTGAAGCTTCAATTCTCCTGTCCTGCCAGTGTTGCTAATTAGTGACGCTGTTACTACATTTTGTGACTTTTTAGACCCCACTCGTACCTCTGTTCCTTAACTCTATAAACTCCAACCTGAAAAAAAGGAGAATTCTTTCAATCAGAAAATGAAATGAAAATAAATGAACCAATAGTATTAACTTTTTTTTTTTAAATCAAGTTGGAGCAATATTTTTTCACATTTGTGCTCTAATCTAAAATGCAAAAAAGGAAATAGTCTCTGAAAATTATTTCTTTATGGTGATTTAATATCTCTTAAGTCTTTGAATAACAAAGAGTCACAAAGCATTTACCCATGGTCCACACCAGCCACTCACACTTGTAGTCATTCAGCAGAGTTTTATGCCACAGTTGGTATGTTAATCGATATCAGTTAACATACAACGCATTTATTTCACGTGGACTGTGCTCTTTTTGTCCGAAGTACAGCTATACACGCCTGACGTGACATACAATCTTCTATGCATTATCTAACAAGTGAATACAAACTGCTTTAGGCAAGTAAAGTCAACAGTCAACAACACAGATGGAACTTAAGCAAGATTGTAATCCTCAACTAATTCAACTCAAGATATTTGGTAATTTAGTTTTAAAAAGTTCTTCTTTAAGATGCTACAAATAAACTAAATTTCATAATATCACTTTTGAAAAAGAAAATATAGAACGATATTTGTAAAGTGTCACTTAAGGTGTGTACAGCTGTACTTTGGAAAAACAGACCACATAAAATATAAAAAAAACAAAACAGAAAATACTGTTTGTGCATTAACAGATATCAATAAACACACTTCTTTCCTTTTGGCTTTTGTGTTGTGTTACAGCTTCTTACCCTAACCACCTTACAAAGCCTCTACCCTGTGCTAACACCTGCCCCACAGCAGATAACTATATTTAGCCTCTCAATTTATCACGAGGAAAGGAGCAGTTGGAAAGATACACGTCTTTACTTTTTCAAAGACATGTTTCCCAATTACCTACATGCTAAACCTTTGGATGTCAAACATCTGTTAACAGGTCACACATTTTTTAAAGTTGTTTCCAAAGACATCTCATCTAACTCAGCCCGGCTATTATAGAAACAAAGGTAATAAAAATCAGAATAAGTCAAAAGACACATTTCAGATGTAGATGTAGTGTATCAGAGCTAAACTATCTTAATCAAGCTTTAAGTTTGTGATTTATTTTTTAAAGGGCTGATTCACAAAATCAGCCAATGGTCTCAGTCGCAGCCGTAACTTTGTCTACTCTATCTAATTGCCTGAGGTACTTCAGTTTCGAAGGCTGAGAAGAGTATTCTTTATATCAGGAAAAATATAAACAAGGGTTTGGGAGAAGATTAATAAACACATGTAGCGTAGGGGGAAAAGATTAAAAAATGTAAAAAGTCCATCAGTATCTGCCTTTTTTTAATCTGTCACACATGCTAATTTGTAAAAAAAAAAATCTGATTCATTAGAGTTCTGAAATATTGTAGAAATATCTGTTCAATTTTTTTTATTTTAACTTCTTTTCACCTCCTCTGCAGGCCAAGTGTGTCTGGAAGCACCCTCCGGGTGATGAGATCTACAGGAAAGGGAACATATCCGTATTTGAGGTGGATGGAAAGAAGAACAAGGTGAGGCTGTTCACCTTTTTATGACTCTTTGCCTGTTTTTCCCCCCTTTTGCTTGTACAGAAAGGTTGGAAATTTTGACATCTCTGTGATGGACTCGTGACCTGTCCCGGTTGTACCCCGCTTCTCGCCGTATGTTAGTTGGGATAGGCTCCAGTCCCCCTAAAATAGAAGAAAAAAGCAGTGTCGATAATTTATGAATAGTCCATAATGGGTTGGAGCCAAAAACAATAGGAGGTCCTTAAAGCTACCACTACAGAAACATGTTTTTCTGGAATGAAAGGAAATTTTAAGCCAGCCTGGTTTTCTTTTCAGCCTAAACTCTGACCTGTTTCGACTCCCCTTTTCACCCAAACCTACCCCTGAGGTATTTTTGTATTATTCAGGCAGGTTATACATCTTTTTTGTTTTTTTCTCGGTCAGATTTACTGTCAGAACTTGTGCCTGCTGGCGAAACTCTTCCTGGACCACAAGACTCTGTACTATGACGTGGAGCCATTTCTCTTCTACGTCATGACGGAAGCTGATAACACTGGGTGCCATCTCGTGGGATACTTCTCCAAGGTAACACAGGATGAAGTTAACCTTTGCTACTTGCGCTCTCTTTCTTTTTTTCTTTTCGATGTTTGAACATGTGATGAAATATCATCAATCCAGTGGCTGAATTTAAAATAATACAATTTTAATTACTGTCCACTCACTATCTAGTCACAAATAGCATACACAGTGCCAAACAAATTAGGTTAATAGCCTAACACAAAAACATCTTTCAAACTAAAATGTAAATACTATTTATTTTCGTAAATAGCCAACTGAAAAAACTAAATAGTTCTAAAGACGTCAAATTTTGTATGGATTACTTTTGGTCTTGAGAACAACTTTCACTCTTAGTGTTTTATCTACTTTCTGACACAAATTTCTCTCATGAGAATGTTTGATGTAATGTATTGAAACGGTTGACTTTTAGTGTCAGTATCATTTGGGCTATTGAGCTTCTGCACACCGGTGTATTAACCATTACATTATTAACCATAACTGAAACCTAAAAGTAATTATTTTGTTATGGTAACTGTAAATCATTGTAGGCCTCAATGTGTCAAAACGAATGTGTGGGAGAATACCAAATCGGCATGAGAATGGGGGAAATGTTAAGATCGGTTTGTAAGTCGAATTAGCGTTTCCTGTCCGTGAATGTTGATTAAAATATTTGCTAGAAGCACCGTGTTCATACATTTCCTCTGCTTCTGCAGGAGAAGAACTCGTTCTTGAACTACAACGTGTCTTGTATCCTCACCATGCCACAGTACATGAGGCAGGGCTATGGCAAGATGCTCATAGACTTCAGTGAGTAGAGACACCTCTCTGCTTATGCTAGATATTACAGCCATACACACAGGTCTGGACTTGTACAGTTGTGCTTTTGGGTTGGAACACACAGTGCTGAGCTTGAAAAGATGATAAATAAACTTTTGGCTCCGGTCTGTCCGAGCAGGCTACCTATTGTCCAAGGTGGAGGAGAAGGTGGGCTCTCCTGAGCGCCCCCTGTCTGACCTAGGACTCATCAGCTACAGAAGTTACTGGAAAGATGTGCTGCTACGTTACCTGAACAACTTTCAGGGCAAGGAGATCTCAATCAAAGGTCAGAATTAAATAATGTTGTCAAGAATAAAAAAATAAGAAAGCCATTTACGTGATGTTTTCGTATATTACTGATGCTGTGTATTTTTTTTTACACCAGTGTTTGCTTTTCCATATTTCTCTTCTGAGTTCCCATAATATACTTTCTGTTACATTTCATTCCTCAAAGTGGAGCTTTACGTGAAAAGCTTTGTCATCTCACTCTAATAAAAAAATAAATGAAAATTTGCAGAGACTTTTGATTTAGCATAAATTGCAAATGATGTTTGAGTTATTTGAAAGGTTGACTCCCAAACCATCATCAAGGCTAGAGAAATCAACCGCAAAGAGTTTTACCCTTTACCTAAAACTAGTTTGCATACACACAAAAACAACATTCACAAATAATGTTTTAATTCCGGGACCCATTCCGTATTCATGAATTACTTGGGTTAAGAAGTTAAGTAGATATAGATCTTTACACTGATGTCACAATCACTTAAACGCAAGCTCGGTCAATATCACAAAGCAGTACTCGAGCCTATAAATGCACAACGGCTTGCAAGTCATTTTAAATGTTTTTTTAGGGGTAACGATTCTCCAAAATATTAGTTACATACTGAATGTATATCTTATATGCCTGGTAAGTGCTTGGGTGCATGAAAAGAATACAGGATCTAATAAAAGGGTTTTATTTCTTAGTAATTGGAAATACTAATTGTTACAACCCTCATCTTTTTGTTACAGAAATTAGTCAGGAGACAGCAGTTAATCCAGTGGATATTGTCAGCACACTTCAATCCCTCCAAATGCTCAAATACTGGAAAGGAAAGCATCTGGTTTTAAAAAGACAGGTAGGAAGCATTTCCAGATATTTACCCTTTAGCTTTAACCTTCCCCAGCTAGCAGCTAAATGATGGTAATTGTCTTCCTGCAGGACCTTATTGATGACTGGAAGGCCAAGGAGACCAAGCGGGGTAACGGCAAGGCCATTGACCCCACAGCCTTAAAATGGACCCCGCCTAAAGGGACATAACTGGGCTTCCTCAAAACCCCAAACGCACTCCCTCACAGGTCCTCCTCCACACATGCTCCTGGCATGCTCACTGACCCTGAGCCTAAACCCTCACAGGCACAGCAGAGTCCCTTCCAAATCTAGAGTGAGTTGTTTCTGTGGGTTCAAGCAGTCACTAATCACAATTCAAGCTTAACAAATAAAGAATTATCTCACTGATAAGTTGCTGCTTCGTATGAATAGGAGGGAAACGTAATTATAACATCCTTCTGCCCAGGTCTAATGCTTGAAAAAACCTCTCCGTTAAAGTGTCCATCTACAGATCAAGTGTGCCTTTGTTTAAAAGCTGCATTTTTCTAAACAAATACTTATATTTCTTTTTTTTAAAATCCCACTAGATTTTGGGGGGGCATTAAAATGAATTATTGATTTCTTTGATAACTGAAAGCAGTGCTTCTGCCACTCTGTTCCGGTTAAGGATAACCAGGTAAAAGGTTATGGTTTAGATTAATTTATAAAAAATAAGCCTTGCATTTCATGTCCTAAAATGCAACTGTCCTTTCAATTTTCAGTAATTGCGAGGAAACTATTTCATAAACTTATAAATGTTGGGTTCATGACACTATTTATGAACAATGTGAGAACCTGTGTGAAGAAAGGATTATTTATGCTCATATTGGGATTTGACTATTTCTTGTCAGGACTGCACTAACATTCTGACATAAGTAGGTGCACATAGACTCCTCATTTGTTTCCTGAGGAGTGAAAGTAATAGAGCGTGTCATTTAATTAGCAATGAGCGCCAGAAATGCCTGCAAATCCAATCTGAGACAGCCAGGATCGATTTCAATCCTTCCTGAGATTGTCGACACAGCGCAGGTTGGCTAAAGTCAAGCAAACAAAATCTGGTCAACACTGACCAGCTGGCAGAGTTTCTAAGAACAGACATCCTAATTAAGAGGGATTTGTAGTCTTTTTTTTGTTTGCAGTTGATGTTAAACGTGTTAAAAAAGATTTGCCCAATGATTTACATACATTATGTAAAATGACTAACATTGCTGCTCACCTGGTTTCCAGTGTTTTCACAATGTTGAGCAGCATGTTTGGACATGAAAAGATGTTACAAGTTTTTATGTTGCAGTTACTTTGCCAGGTTATATGTACCAACGCAGGACCTGCCCCAAATGGAGTGCAGCCATATATATAAACCCGCATAGTCCCCCCCACTAGGCATGTAAAAATGTCCAAGATATTTTAAATGGTGTGATGAATTAAGATGATGTCAGGTTGGATCTTTTTAAGTCATTTTCGGGGCATAAGGCAAAAGAGATGGCCCTAAAAACAGTGACTGGTTGAATCCAGAGCAACACTTACTCCGGGTTTTCCGTTGCACAACAAACGCACTCATCATGCCGAGTATTTAACCCCTTCCAGCAGCCATGGGATTAGGAAGCTATAGCTCGCACTCACCCTGATTGGACTGTGGTATGTCGTCATGCAGGGACCTACCTGGATCCATTCTTCCTATCGAACGCTTGCTGTATCTTTTCTATTGGGTTTGCTTTCAACAGCCGTGTCATATCCTGATATATATAGTTTAATTCTGAGATTTATTCGATGTTAGAAGCAAAAGAGGTTGCAAACATTTTTGTTCTGCGTTCTTGATATGGTTTTATGTTCTCATTTACATTTCATACTTTCTCTACCTCTAAGGCGTTACCACTGTTTTCAAGCTAGAACAGCCCATTTTAAGCTTCGGTGTTTTGTTTTTGTTTTGTTTTGTTTTTTATTCGGTATTTACACATAAGTAATATGTAGTTGTGTTTGCTGAGCAAGTGTTTTTTTTTTGTCTAATAGATTTTTACAAAACATGCTATTTATATTCTTTAAAAGTATATGTTAACTGCGTAGAACATTAATGAATGTCTACTTTGTTGGCTCAATTCCCTGTAAATATATTTATCTAAAACCTGTAGATTTCAATGTATCTAGAAATTATTAATAGGTACCCATATCCCTCACATCCCCCAATAATGGCAGAAGTAATTTACATTTCAGATATTTATTTTCTCATATCGGAAATGACATGACTAAGTCCCTTTTGCACGCTGTCACTCCTTGTTACTGCTGTAATTACGGCTGCAAGCAGCTAAAAAATGACATGGAGGATTAGTTTTTATAAGCCCAGTAAGCATGGTTGGAAGCCCAGTGTGACTCATTCAAAATTTTATTTATCGACAATCTTTTTTTTTATCGTTTTCTTTTTTCATTGTTAAGATTAAAGCAGTTTTTGGGGGGTAAATATGCTTGAAAAGTTATTTTAACCTTATTGCAGCTTCATTTAACTTGGCCTAAAATGTTTTATTTCTTAAGAAATTAAACACAGAAGAAGTAGCAATCGATCCATCATCCCTATGGTGTATTCAGGTCAAAACATGAAAAAGAACTTCCGATTTTGTACTAAAGCATAATCTCCCATTGAGTGTTTTAGCAGCATTTCGTAATTTGAAAATTTGCCTCTGGTATGACAGTTAATTCCGTAAAGGCTGTGCCCTTCGCTATATTCATTTATTTTTACCACAATCAATTACCTTGTCTCGTATTTGTCACATGACATGGTTTGAAAGAAAGATGTGTTCAAGAATATAGACAAGAAAGCGTTAAATATGTGGTCAGTCTAATAAGATTGAGCTTACTTAAAATGAAAGTAAAACAATTATGTGGGCCTTCACTTGCGACACAGCTAACGTTGCCGATTCTCATCTTGACATGTGATAATCTACCCCAATTTTATCTTTTAATCAAAGTGAGATTGCATTTGTTTAGCAGATTTTACACAAACCCCAACCCAAAGGTTTAACCTGGCAGTTTACATGTTCTTTGTCATTCCCTATGGTTGTTGGAACACCACAAACTGAAAATAAATCTCCATTTGAGCCCTACATACATGTAAAGCCAAACTCATGAATTTGCTGTTATGTTGAAGAGGCCACCTAGGTGAATCAGGAGCCCACAAAAAATGTCAAGTGACTCCAAAGCTAATTGCTTTGGTGCAGGGCTGGAAACAAAAAGCATGAACTGTGTTGAAGTGAGAAACAAAGGTCCGTATGTACTCTGAAACAAGTAAGAAGCACATAATTAAAAGGCCAACCCATTTCTTTAGTGTCTCTTTAACATTTAATCTAATTGGCACCTCTGGTCATTTGATTTCTTTGTTTGTTAATTGTTTGAATTGTTTCTTATTTCCCCACCCTATGTTAACTTATGACTTTTTTTTTCTTTGGGATATTATTCGGTATTAAGAAGCATGCTTCTACCATAACCACCAAACAGAAAAGACAAGAAAAAGGCTGTTACAAATAGATAAGAACAAGTAATGATTGCATGCAATCACGTCGCCCACAATGTTCATTTTCCCTTTGGTCTAAACGCACCGTTAGAGCTTCTGGTAGGTGGATTGTGTTGGCTCTGGAAAAAACCTGGTAGGTTCCCCATTGTTTCCAATCTTTAATGCTAAACTAACTTGATCCATTTACACTTTCACATTTTTCATACAGAAACAACACATTTCTGTTTTTGTCCAACGGTTGGCAAATTACAAAATATGAATCAGAATTTTTCATAATACTTGAATCATTATATAAACAGTTTGAATGCAAATTTACTTGGCCAAAAAACAAATTTGAAATGACACCAAAAAACCCCAATAACACTAAAATCAATTCAACAGTTCCATGAAAGCAACTTACTGAAACACAACACACATACTGACAGGACGTATTGTGAGGTTGGAGGCATGTGGCCAGCCATTTTAGATTCAGTTTTCTTTCTTCACATGATGCTTTTCTGTTTGATAACTTTTACGTTGTAGTTTAAGTATGGTGGTGGTTTGAAATGTGATTTTTGTTGTCCTTTTTTGTGATGTAATTTACGTGGCCTTTGAGTAACAAAATATGTGTTGAAAGTATTGTCTGACTATCTCTTGATTTTCATTGTTTTCCTGTTTTTTACTATTTCAAATGTTAACATTTGGTTTAATCCTGTGGTTACTTTGCAATATGAGGGAAAGGAGTCAATACTGCCTAAATTGACTATATGTCCATTCTAAGTGGTTGCGACTCAGAAGACATATGTTAATTTTTTTCTCACAACTTTAGTGTGTGAAGACCTTTTCTTGTCTTGTACGTTTTGCCACGTCATATATTCATTAACAGGAAAGTGCACTTATTTTGTGAAGAACTTTCAACGAGCGAGACATGTTCCCAATGATGTTTTATGTATGAGTTGGGCCTTTTTGTTCTTCTTTCATCTTCTTTCATGTTAATATAAGGTCTACCCATGCTGGTAACGGCAAATTGAAAACAATATTTTTGTTTGTTTGTTTTTCAATGCATTCACTGATGTATGACAACCATACCATGACAAATCCAGAACAACCACAAAAAGGATTTGATAATACACCTTAGCAAAAAAGTCAATCTTGATTTTTATGTTCATATTGGCCAGAAAAGGGTTAATCAAAAAGAAAAATACATCTTCAGCAAACACCTGTCATGTGTTCAGTATCAAAATGTGAGTTAAAGAAAATCCAGAAGTGTTTTATTTTTGCCTTTTTATTCCTTTGTGTCTCCATTTTTTTTAGATGTTATGTCTTTGTTTTGTAATTGTTTTTTGTGCTGACAGCAGCCTCAGATTGACTGCTTCAGAGCACTTTGTTGGTTATCAGCCCACCTGAACAGGAATACGGTACACAGACTAGGCAAGCATCCCATAACCCCCTAGTGAGCTGTTGTAGAACCTCTACTTCACTTACTTACACAAAGCAACAAAATACAAAAGTAGCATGGCGTCCATATGTAGCTTCGTTGTGCTTCTGTTCTTGCTTCTCCCTCTGCCTTCCTCTTCAATAAATTCAAATGGTAATACAAATGTGTGATTTATTTTTCCTTGGCAGCACTTTGAAGGATAAATATTTTAAGGTTGGTCAGATCTGTTAATGGGGAACACACAGAGAAGCCAATAAGGGTTCAAGAATATATATTTTAAAATAATAAATATAAATTCCATGATATGCTTTGTAAAATAATAAACATTTTAAACAAGAAGAAACTATAGGTAAAAATTAAATAATTAAGTTTGCTCTATTATACTTAAAATATTTAACTCTTATCACATGAGAGCATCACAAGAGTGGACTTCGAAGTTGGATTTAACACATTTAAGAATAACCAACAGTCTGTTATCAGAACTCAAAATTAATACCTCTGAGCTGAAAATCCGAATTTTGGAATGAGTGTTATTGGAATTTCACCAAATCGATAGAGGTGGACGGGTCAGTCATGAAAACAATGTGTCAAAACAAGGTTTTATTTATTAATCTGCAACATTATCCCATCACTGTACAATCACAAAAAAAATGGAACATATTTGTTTTCCCCATAGAATCAAACATGTTTTAAAGACCAGCAGTACAAAAATTAATTGCCATGCTGCTACAATTTTCCAAATCAACAACATTTTCTTTAACAGTAGCAACACAAAAAGATGACACTTAAATGATGGAACCAAAAGTTTCAGTTGAAAATAAATATTTACATAATCGTAAATGTGATAACATATGATCATTGACAACATACAATAGATTGGAACACAGAGATGGACAGGTGATAAATGTAGTTTTTATTTTAGGAGCTTGCATTTATTTCAGTTTACTCCGTCAGGTAATTAGATAATCTGTTTTGGTCACTATTTCCTGTCGATCGACAGCATAGAACTGAAAATGGCTGTGAAATTCAAATGGAGCCATCACAATGGTGGTTAGGGATTTTTCTCTCCAGATTTTATGCTCAGTATGACTCAGATTTCCAGTCATCCTCTTCCATGTCTAGAAACCAAAGAAAGAGAAAAAATGTTAGAATAAAAAAAAGTATTTAATTGGAAAAGTGGTTAAAACTATCATTTATATGGAATCATTTCTGAAATTACATTAATTACAGATTCCATCTTAGGAAAATAGCATTTCCTCAATATTCAAATTTCCTCTGAGGACACGTTGGGTTTACATTACCTCCACCTAAACTCCTCCTGCCCATGAGTCCAACAAACATCTCCCCTTTGTTGTTATTTCCTAAATTGAAAGAAATGCAAGAGAGAATTAAAAAAAACACAGGATCTTTTAATTATTTTTCAGGGGTTAAAATAAATCAAACTCTTTATCTTGACATGTGAAAAATAGATGAAAAACCAAACTCCACTGACTCATTATTTGATTTTACTCACTTTTCCTGCCCAGCCTAGTAGACTGAGGTGCCCCTGAAACTAAGGAGGGATACAGATTGTAATCAAGACTAAAACAGGGAAATCAAAGGCTCCTCATTAAATATAAGACAAAAGGTTAAGGTACAACAAATCAGCCCTAAGCTCCCCATAAAGTACAAATAAGCTTTTGGTAATTAGTTTGTTTACCTGGGCTTCTTCCCATCAGCCCATGGAACTGCTGTCCTTTGGAACGCTTGATAAGATCTGCCAGCCGAATAGTTATTCCTCTCTCTAACGGGTAACCCTGCACACAAACACACACACACAGATGATAGATATGACTGCTCTGGCAACCTACAGGTCAAAAGGCAGTTTTTCATCATGTAAATTGCCCTGCTGTTTGATGGTCCTGTCCATGGTCCTGAAACTACAATGCCTCACGTGCAATACGGAAGGTTAGAGGTAAAAGATACAGATTTACTGCTGTAAATGCGATAAATGCTGCACATTTTTGACCGATTATTTGGGTTTTAATGCGTTCCATTCGACTGAGTACTGAGAAACATTTAACTACTTCCCCACTAACTCAGAAGTGCCATTTAAATGATGTTTTCTTGAGGGTGTGAATAAAAGAAGCAACGCGATTGTTCAGCGTCGCGTGAGGTTCAGGAGCCAATGTACCGAGAAGGATACCAAATGATACAGCAAAAAGCGTGGAAATGTGTCACCAAACTCCGTACCTGTTCGGTAATAAAGACATATGTCTATTTAGACAGCTTAACTTAATTCTGGACGACGTGAGAAATCAGTTAGCTTGGGGTTTGCGTCGAAATAGCTTTCGCTCGCTCGCGCCAATTTAAAAGTTCACTTTTAACAAGCTCACAGGCTAAATCATGCAATGTAACCGAGTGCGTGCACGAAAAGCAGCGCACAATTGATTCTGTTCGCGATAAAGTAACGTAGTTACGTTTGGCTATGTAGAAATGTTTTTCTTTTCTTTTCCTTTTTTTTTTTACCTATGCCGCGAAGTTTTCGCACGCGCCCGTCCAGACTGCTTCCTGTTTATCCGCTCAAACTTTTTTTTACCTGCCAGTTCTTCACTGTCCAGATTTCTCCGCTTTCCTCTTCGCCTGAAAGCGGAGCCCCCAGCCCGCCGAGAACCTGCACCAACACGACCAACAAAAGCAAGAGCACCAACTTCGCAGCCTCCATAATCATTCAAAAGGGGAAATCACAGAAGTAGCGAAGTTATCAGAAAATGTCCTTCTTATTTGGCAGCATGCGGACACCAGGTACTTTAAGCTTCTCAAGGTGATGCACTTCAGTGTATCTTTTTTTTGTTGCTCTTTTGTGCTTTGATAGGGAGAGGGAATGTTTCAGCCTGCTCTTATAAACTCATGCCTCTCGCTCCTCCCCTCATCCCCAGCTTCATATCAGGTCAGATTTTTTTTTCTTATCATCATTTATGTACAATTCATTGTGTGACTCATCAAACAGTGGCAGTGAGCATACTTCACCTCACTCAAGGCATACCGTCTACTCCTAAACTGAAGGACGGATGTGCTGATTTGTTTCTTTTGCTGATGTACGACACATATTTTGAGTCATCAGGAGCACAGACAACAGGTAAAGGCGGCAAACCACATCACAGTTCAAAAAGTGACGCCTCTATATTTGCACTTTCAGGCCTTCTTTTCAAACCCAAAGCCGATCGCTATCAGGTTTCGTGTCATCTTTATGGTTTGCGTCACTGTCTCTCGCTGCTATTCGATTAGGGGCTGTGATGTACTTTTGCTATTCATGATTTGTCTGTGTGGCCCGGCTGCTGGACGGGGAAGGCGCCTGATTCATTTATTCTTCGCATAATCACTTTTTCACAAGATTCTATCCTTCTATCGGCAGGGTTGACACTACAGCTACATCACAGCCTGCCTCTTGGAGGTTAGGGGTCCTTATAGGCTTAACACGTTGGTGCATCTCATGCTGCATATGTGCACTCAAATGTGTTTTTTCCTGTAATGTCCACACTTTCGAACTAAATTAACTGGTACGTGAATCAAAACATAAGAAATTAAAGGGCAGGTTAGGTGTAATCTAACCATTCATTATTTACACTCTTGTTTAAAACATCTTACATGGACACAGGAGAATGAACAGCTGAGCAAATCTTAGAGAACAATTTTAAAGAAAAAGGGAGAGAGCAGATCTTTAGGCTAGTTAAGAGTAGAGATGATCATGAGATGCAACAGGTACTAAGCGGGGCAGGATTAGAGGAGAAAGAAGTGTTTTGTATGTTAGTGGTTCGTGTGTTATGAGGGGATTTATGCTCAGAGTTTTCAAGAGCATCTTAAAGGTTGGTAGGAAGAACCCTGCTCTGGTATTATTTGGCTGTGGGCTGTGGATATGCCCGTGTGCCATAAACATGTCAAAATGTAACTTAAATCACTTCTGACATCTGACTTCACAAACCATAAAACCAACACCAGAAACACTGTAAGTAACATGTTAACAAGTGGGAAATATTTTTTTTTGTCAATATATCGTTCTGTTATGATTTTTATTCTAAAGCTTACACAACAGACTCAAATGTTTTGGCTGCAAATCCACATTTTTGTGTACAGATTTCAGTTTTTTAATCAACTGTTAGATGACCAATCAAATGTTTGTCCAGAAGAACAGAAATGTTTACGCTTTCCCCTTATTCTTATTTTTTCAGCAATTTTAGAAGTGTTCAGTTTAGGGGAGAAGTCTTAAGGTGAGGAGTCAACCTGGGAGCAGTTAACATGGCATTTTCCAACAAAATTATCTTCCTGCACAAGTGCCCTGCTAATTTAGTCTCAACACCGGCATGTCCACATTGTTTATGTTTAAGGGTCAATCTGAGTGTGAAGGTAATTCAGACTAAGGCATAGAAGTCCTTTAATGCCTTTAAAAGTTTAGCAGAGCTACCGAAAAAGAGAAACAAAGAAATTAACTTGAATTTTTCAATCGAAGTGGTTTAGTAGCCATGGGAGATTGCAGATACCTTAAAGGTATCAACAAAACAGGGAAACTGACTTGGAATGATTTTTGTGTTGAAACCAACTGCTTTACTGGAATGAACCATAACAGAGGGTTCCCATGTATGCAAATAAATGGACTAATACATAAAACTTGTTCAGTATAGACACAGAGCTTATCCTCAGCTTACTTTCTAATTTAAACTTCCTTACTTGAAGCAAATTAAAGATCCATTATTGGTATTATTGACTAAAGGCATAACAACATAGAATGAAAATCGAAAGTAAATATAGCAATATAACAATACTAAGATTCAGCCAGGGACAACATGCGGAAATAAATCTTCCAGTATATTGCCGTAAAGCAGAATAAAGAATGAGCTTGAGAATTTAAAAAAACGAAAAGCATAAATGGCATAGTTGAACCAATTGCAGCTTTCTGTTTATTAAGTTTTACTTAACAGTAGAAATCCGATTTATCTTTCATTTAAAAAGGTTCCCCTCACTGTAATCATGTAGATGAATGAAACTTTGATTATAAATATCTTTGAGAGAGAGAGAAATTGTCTCCGTGTGAATGAATACTGTCATCAAACCCCAATCATTCCTCTGGAAATAAACCATCAAATATTCAGTTTTAAAAGTCATAGTTAATCCTCATTGAGAGCACATTTATCGTGTGGTATCCACGGAAAATTGTAAATAAAATCCAGGCAAACATTTCTCGGACCACCTAGGAAAAAGAAAATATCTGAAGAAGTTACTTGCATGACGGAAAAAAGCTCTCCAGCTTTAGAAATAATTTGGTGATCATAATATTTGAATAATATTAGGTGTAGTTCTTATAAATCACTGCAGAAAAAAATCATGGCGACTCCTTCCAAAACTTGTGTTTGGACTTCAGATTCCACTTTATAAGGATCAGCATCATTAACTCTAAAACTTTCCGATAACGAGGGAGTATCCTGAGTTCATTGGGCCTGAAAACAGTTGGAGGAAATTCGACTTTAGCTTTTTAAAGACGGATACCAAAAGTGTGACTCATTTACTCAGGTGGATCAAATACACACATCAACATCTTCACCAACAGCTCATTACACTAAGGAGCTCTGTGTGCATATGTCAGGCAGATAATAACGGTGTGAGAGCGATCAATGGCACCAGAGCTGTCTCGCTAATCTGTTTAAAGTCATTCAGTGATGAAAATCAGACCGTCTGGAAAAATAATCTCTGCAGAGAGACAAACACCAGTGCAGAACTCTTGAAGAATACAGCACATCAACCTTGTTTGATGACTGATTGAACAGTTGAAACTCACAAGGAAAACACTACATCAAATGAATAATAAGATCATAAATATGACATGAGTATATGGTGAATGTCGGCTGGAAAAAAAACACCCAAAAATACAAGAATAGCTTTAGATGATGGCTGTTTAATGCACTTACAAACAGTCCAAACATAGCTCTAATTGAAAACTATTTAAGAAAGTTCAATTGTAAGGTTGAATTAAAGACTTAGACATGTTTAACACTGTACCGCTCCTGTCTTATGTTTTGCTGATTAATATTTGTGACATTTGTATATAAATTAACATATTTTTTGTTCTTTTTTTGTTCTAACCATTCATATTTGAACAAAAATTCTTTAATTCTCGCTTCACTGAAATCGTTTGAATAAATTCAAGGGTGCCAAATCCTTTTAGACAGCACTTGAATGATGCCCTTGATGACAGCCTCGTGCTCAAAACGGCCTCAGAACAAAATTTGTGGTATTAAAAAATTCCGAATCCATGACACGCTGTCAAAACAAGTTATTGGGAAACGTCATACATTTTTTTCTCCTTTTTTAAAACAATATCTGCATTTCTAAAAATTGCTTGATGAAGAATGTCAGATTTTCTTCTTTGGTATTATTTCTAAATGTATTTCAATTAGTAATAACACCCTAAGTCAAACAGGTTAGAGAAACAGCCAGAGCCTGTATTTTATTAATTCCTTCTCCAGTTTAGGGGTCAGCAGCTGACCTTAAATCAGTCTTCAAACAATTCCACAGCTGCCCCATTGTGTAGTCATTTATGTATAAATCTCTTCATTCCTATTAATGGTGTTGTGATCCTCCATCACTCACAGTTTAAATTGAAGCTTTTCGAACATGTGCACTTGCAATTTGTCTCTTTTCAATCAGAACCTATTGAGAATGTGAGAGTGAGAATCATTTTTGTCAAACTGTTGATCATTGTTAGTGCAGATGAGACTAAAAGATCATGTGATGAACACTGTGAATTTCATGGCAATCTGTCTGGTTTTACACCCTGATATGAGAAGGCCTTCCTGTTTGGCTCTGGTGGTCATCAATTGTCCTCACTGACCTCGCGCATACTTTGTCTTTCTGGCTTCATGCTGAGTCTGTCACGTCTGGTGTCTCGTCATGTCCTGATTACCAATTGTGTGCACCTGGGGTTCCCCTTCCTCGTGTGTTTAAATAGTCCTCGTTTCCCCTTGTCTGGTGCGGGGTCGTTCTTGTCTTCTTGCCTTGTCTCTTGTCCTTTCGTCCGTCGTCACCCCCACGCCAGGTTTGTTTCGTTATAGTTCTGCCACAGCCACAGTCATAGTCACGTTTTGTCATAGTCTTGTTAATCTTTATTTTGTTACTTTGTCATAGTTTTTCCACAGTCTTGTTTGCTTGCTTTGATACTTTGCCCACAGTTTGCCACAGCTTTGTTTTGTACTTTGTCTGGACATTTACCCTGTTTGTACAATAAACCTTGTTTCCCCTTCATTCCGCGACTGAGTCCTCCCGTCAACACCCACCTCCCTGACAGAGTCAGAGGTGCACAGGCTAATATGTGAGTCATATGCCACAAGGGATTGGATTTTGTGGTCATTTGTTGGATCAGAAACCTAATTGAGATGCTCACTCACTTGCCAACAATAAAACCATTTCATATTCTAATATAAAGTCATTTTCTAATCCGAAGTAATCTTTCAGTTAATGTTTTGATAAATCAGTGGCCCCTACAGACCAGCACACTTCATACATGTGTGGTTTTTAGACTGAAATGGGGTTGCTTTCTGTTCAAAGAGCAGTCTAGGGTTAGTTTACATTTGACATGCAATATCAGTGTTAAAGCACCAGGCGGGATACTGAATATAATTTTTTTAAGCTACAAGTAACTAAAAAACAAAAGCATTCACAGTTAATCTGTCCATCTAATTGGTTTATTATTCTTGTTTTCGAAAATTGCAAAATCTTTTGAAGTGCAAGAAGCGCTCTGTCGATATGAAGTGGTGCTTTTATATGAGAATGTACCTTTAGTAGCTATAGAATTATTACTTTAATGCACAAAA